CAGGACCGTGTACACCAGAACAGTCGGAAGCTATGCGTATGGTTCTATATATTTTTAAATTATTTCTTTTTTCTTTACAAAGAATTTTTTGGTCAATACAAAATAGTTTTTTCTTAACGTTAACGTCAAGGTATATCCATAGTTTCCAAAAACATCTATCATGAAATAAGAGATTCTTTTAACGAATTATCAGTAAACGAAATAAATGACAAAATAAGATTTTAAGATAAGGTATTTTTACTTTAACAAATTTTATCTCAATATAATTTTACTTTGTTGCTCAATTAGAAGTAATATATAATTTTTAAAAATTAAAAAGTGTTATACAAAAGTTGAAACAACGATAATGCCTGTTAAATATTCGACAATATAAAAATTATTTCTAAATTGATTTTGTTTTGTTTAAAAACAGAAAATACTTCGTGTTACACTTTATTTATGAATTGACAAATTTTTATTCGGCAATGTTTCGTATCATTTTATGATTTTGGAGTGGACGATTAGTTTTTCAGAAACATGAACAAATTTAATTTTTCGTCTTCCTTCTGTGTACAACTATTTTTGTGTGTTATTTTAGAAAAATATTGACTTACTGAATATAAATCCTGTGGTTTAATTCTATCATATTTAAATTAATAACTATACTTAATAATCAGGAGCGATTAAGCCGATAATTAGAATTATTGATAAGAAAATATTTTCTTGGTTTCAGCGATATTCGTTGATGCTTTTATAACTGAATGCAGGAAATGTTCTAATAATCTAAAGGAAAATTTGGAAATAAAAAACGAATGGTACAAAACAAATCAACCAGAGAAATGGAAACTAATTGTTGCGAAGTTGAACGAGTTAAAAAGAAGTACGCACCTCAATAACTGCTGGCAATATTAATGGATCTTCTGATACTTGTTATCCTCGAATTTTCCCAATTAATCAATGCAAATATAATAAAGCATAATTAATTGTTGTGAATTTAATTAATAAATCAGAGTCGGGGTGCTCGATAAAGTTACCACATATATGATATACACGATAATTTTATTTAAACACAATTGAAAAATAAAATTGATATTGAGTCTCGCGTGTAATACAAAAGAAAAATGGTAACTGAAGACACAAATGAAATATACCTGTCTCTTATACACATCTCTGAGCGGGCTGGCAAG